CAGAAAGCTCTGCAAAATTGTTTGATTTAGTGAATACCATCGATTATTAAGCTGTTTTTGTGCCAATACTCCATTTATGAACAGTCAGAGAACACGTTGGACTAGCAGAACTGTCATTGTGTGTGCCAGAATCGCTGTTTGCTGTAATTTCTTCATATCCTTTTTGTTTTGTGTTTCAACTCAGTCACCATTTTCATGGTAATTACCTTGCATGGACAATAGACTCATTTATATTCATGCACACATGGAAATACCTGTCACCACTCAGCAGTTCAAATGAAAAGACTCTTTGAAATCGTTGTCCTACTAATTATCATTCACATGCGAATGAACAATCATTCCAGGAGAATTAATTATACTAAAAAGGATCTATTCAGTATTAGGAACAGTAACATCTGTACTATTGAGCACAAATGCTCCCTCTCAGTCTGGAATAGGATCAGATCATTAGGTATTCAGTCAAAGACATCAACCCACAGAGGGAAAAGAGCTGGTACTCGTAAGCTGAATTCTCACCCACAACGTACAATTACAAGGAATCAGCATTTCCAGCTTGGTTGTTGGAATGTACATTTAATTCAGAATAAGGCTACACTAATTTCTGACTATATTGTAGAACATAATATTGATGCACTTGCAATCACAGAGTCATGGCTGAAAGCCAGTGGCGATGAACCAATCATTAATGAAGTTACACCAGCTGGATACACTTACCATCATTTTCCGCGTGTGAAATCAACTGGTGGAGGGATTGCATTTATATTTAAGTCGAGTATTACAGTCACCACCTGGAAGCCACTACAGAATGTTACTACCTTTGAAGCTGTTGAAGCCACTCTGCGTTACCATGGAATTACTTTTAAAGTCATTATTGTGTATCGTCCACCTCCCAACACGAAGAACAAATTCACTGTCTCTAAATTCTTCAATGAATTTGGAGATCTTCTTGAATCTTCATCTACATACACTGGCAATTTATCTATTATTGGGGATTTCAATTTTCACTGGGCAAATGTATCACCGGATCCTAATACTCGTAAATTTCAAGAATTACTGGACTCGTGTAATTTAAAGCAGTGGGTGAACACTCCAACACACACTCATGGTCACACATTTGATCTGGTCTTCACAAATCCTGACCTGATTCTCAATGTCACTGTTGACACTGTTTATATTTCAGATCATTTCCCAATCTATATACAAGTCTTACTACCTAAACCTCCATTAGTTCAAAAGGAAATTAAATATCGTCGCATTGCAGATATTGTTGTGGAAGATTTTGAATGTGCCATTAAGGATGCTCTAATCCCCAGCCAACCTTCAGCAGATGTGAACCTGGCTGTTTTTCATTACAACTCGTGCCTAAGGAAACTACTAAATAAACATGCACCGCAACGTAAACAACTTATCACTGTGCGCCCTAATGCAGATTGGTATACAACGGACATAATGGTAGCTAAGAAAACACGCAGATTTCATGAAAGGAAGTGGCGCACTACGAAACTGGAAATTCACAAGCAAATTTACCGTACCCATTGTAGTAAAGTTCACAAGCTCATTCAGAATGCTAAATCTAAGTACTATTCAGATATAATTGAAGTGAACGCTCACAATCAAAAAGCACTATTTCAGTTATCATCTAATCTAACCACTGATAAAACATCACCACTGCCAACTCATTCTTCACTCCATCAACTCACAGAATCATTTAGTGAATTTTTCACAAACAAAATCACCAATATTCGGCATGGTTTGGATTTAGACGGACAGGGTGATAATAATCGAGTCATTTATACTTCAAATGCTACATGTACATCTGAACAACTTTCAAGTTTCCAGCCTACTACTACACAGGAACTCAAGAAAATCATTAAGGAATCACCATCTAAATCATGTTGCCTCGACCCAATTCCCACATATTTATTCAAGAAAGTTCAATCACAGATCATACCCTGGGTCATGTGTCTCATCAACCTATCTTTCCAACAAGGACTCGTACCAGCTAATCTGAAGTTTGCAGTTGTCATACCACTGCTTACAAAGAAAACACTTGATCAGCAAATACTCAATAATTACCGACCTATCTCTAACCTCCCTTTCCTTTCAAAAGTTCTGGAAAAAGTCGTCGCCAGGAGACTAAATGACTACCTTGCTAAGAACTCTCTTCTGGAACCTCTCCAGTCTGCATACAGGAAATTTCACAGCACTGAGACAGCACTCATCAAGGTCCACAATGACATATCAATGTGTATTGATGCAGGACAATATGTTATCCTTGTCCTCCTAGACCTGTCTGCTGCCTTTGACACGATTGACCGTGACATCCTTCTTGCAGGGCTGGCAGATATGGGCATATGTGATCTTGCCTGGCAATGGCTAGCTTCATATCTCACGAACAGACATCAGTCAATTGTCATTAATGGTCATTCATCTAAAGAAACAACCCTTCATTATGGAGTTCCCCATAGATCAGAACTCTGTCCCCTGTTATTCTCAATTTACATCTCATCACTTGGTCAAATTATTCGTCACCACAATCTTCATTTTCACCAATACTCTGATGACAATCAACTTTACCTTTCTTTCACTAAAGATAACATTTCAGCTGCCACATCGCAAATTGAAAATTGCCTATCTAACATCAAAGCTTAGATGGTTAACAAAAAACTACAGCTAAATGATGGTAAAACAGAGATATTGCTAATCCGTTCAAAATTTGACCTATCTCCAAACCCCTTGCATGGTATCAACATTGGATCAACACTCGTTAAACCGGTTAAAGCAGCTCGCAACATTGGTGTCATCTTCGATGATTCACTTCAGTTCAGTAACATATCATCAGTACATGCCAGAGCATATACATGCATATC